CAGCCCCTGCCCTTAGGATAACCTTGTCTCCCCCATTTGCTTACTATTTGCTATTTGAGAGATGGAATGTTTCAAGAACAAAAAAGCCATAAAACTATGTTATACCTATATAGTTTTTTTCAACTATATGTTCACCATATAGTTGTTTTCAGCATTTACTCCACCTTACTATTAGAAGAATTCTCTGGGTCCCTTCGTATCCCCAATGCCAGTAAACTAAAAATCCAGTATATGGAGATGTTTATTGAATTGAGGCTTATTACTTTTGAAAAAGGAATGGAGGAGCCGCTATTTTCATAGATCCATAAAGGTGTAGAGAATTACATTTCAATAGGCTAATGAAAAAGTCTCATGACCGTCATCATCAGTAAAAGGCCCAAAATGCAGGTGTTCAATAATAGGACCTTATAGGGGCACTTAAGGCCTACCAATGTCTCCTAGTTGTTCTTAGAGACGGAAATCTTCACTGCGTTTCAAAGCCATGCCAAGTCTGGCCCCGTAATCAATTCACACTGTTCTCACTCTCTTTTCTAAAAGACTTTATTTTCTAGAGTAGTTTAACATTTACAAAAAGCTAAGCAGGTAGTACACAGTTAGTTCCCTTCCCCTAGAGTTTCCACTATTCTTGACATCTTGCATTAGTGTGGTATATTTGTAACTGATAAGCCAATACTGATACATAATTGTTAATTAAAGTCCATATTTATGTTAGTTTCTGTGTTGTACAGTTTGACAGGTTTGACAAATGCATGCCATGTATCCACCATCACATTATCATAAGGTTATAGTCTAAATACCCTAACAATCCCATTCTCCAACTTTTCACCTCTTCCTAGATTCCTGGCAACAACTGATCTTTCCACTATCTCTATAGTCATATATATGGAATCATACCATACAGAGCAATGTGCATTTAAGGGTATTCCATGTGTTTTTGTGATTTAATAGCTTATTTGTTTTTGTCACTGAAGGATATTCCAATATATGGATGTACCACAGTTTGTCCACTCACCTACTGAAGGACTGTGAATATTTCTCTCTTTTCCGCACCCAGCGCGGCTAGAGAGCAATCAGGTTCCTGAGTAGGGGCTGCTGGGGATTGAGAAAATGAAAGAGACAGACTCAGAGATGGAAGGAAAAGGCTGGGGCCGGGTGGGACCACTGTCCTCTGATGGAGAGACAGGGACCCAGGGCCAATACAGCGTGTTTATTTTATACAGCAACAACCAGGAAGTTTTACTAAAGGTCCAGACAAAGAGTATGCGCATTCCTGGGTGGGCTCGAGTCCTATTCATTCCTGGTGCTTGGCTGGCTTTCAATAACAAAACCCACCCCCTGCCACCTGGGCTGAAGGTCAGGCTGACAACACTCCTGCCTTTTGGCAAAGCGTGTTTCCAGGACGTGGCTCTGCCTATGCCACTGGATTTAGCTGACAATAATTAAAGAAATGCTCATGTGCCTTCCCTGGTGCTCTCTACAAAGGACATCTTGATTGCTTCCAGTCTGGGCAATAATGGATGAAGCTGCTATACCATTCATGTGCAGGGTTTTCTGTGGACATACGTTTACAAGTCATTTGGGGAAATATGTAGGAATGCAATTACTGGATCAATGACAAGACTATGTCTACCTTTGTAAGAAACTGCTAAACTGTCTTCCAAAGTGGCTATACCATTTTCATTCTTACCAGCAATTAGTGAGAGGGCTTGTATATCCACATCCTCACCAGCATTTGGCATTGACAGTGTGAATTCTAGCCATTCGAATACATGTGTAGCAGTGTCTCATTGTTGATTTTCAATTTTATTTTTTTAATTAAAAAATTCAATTACATTTGACATATATGATGTTTCAGGTGTACAACTTAGTGATTAGACATTTATATAACGTATGAAGTGATCACCCGATAAATTAGGTACCATCTGACACCACACATTTCACTGTTGTTTTAATTTGCAATTTCCTAATGATATATACAACATTGAGCATTTTTCCTTTTTTAATTTATATTTTATTTTAATTTTTATTTATTATTTTTAATCCTCACTCGAGGATATGTTTTTATTTATTTTTTGGAGAGAAAGGGAGAGGGAGGGGTGGAGAGAGAGAGAGAGCATGAGAGAGAAACATTGATCAGTTGCTTCTCATAGGCACCCCAACTGGGAATCTGAACCTACAACCTTGGTATGTGCTCTAATCGGGAATCAAACCTGCAACCTTTTTGGTGTACAGGATGACACTACAACCTGAGCCAGGGTGAGGAGTATTTTTTAAAAACACAAGTTTTTAGAGCAGTTAGGGTTACAGCAAAATTGAACAAAAGGTACAGAGATTTCCCATATATTCCCAGTCCCCATATATGCACAGCCTCCCCCTCTAGCAACATCCTGCACCAGAAAGGGACATTTATTATAACTGCAAAACTGACATGGACACACAATAATCACCCAAAGCCCATGGTTTACATTAGGGCTCACTCTTAGTGTTATAGCTACTCCAATCTATAATAATGAAAGCATAATATGCAAATTGATCGAACAGCCGAACAGCAGACGACCTTCCGGATGACCTTCCAGACGAAGCCAGGGTGGGGCTGTGAGGGCCAAGGCAGCCAGGGCTTGGAAGGCCTACTCTTGCACGAATTTCGTGCATTGGGCCTCTAGTAAATTTAATAAAATTTAAAAAAAAAAAAGGAAGATGCTCAATGTTATATATCATTAGGAAACTGAAAATTAAAACAAGTGATATGTACAGAGGTGGGCAAAAGTAGGCTTACAGTTGTGAGTACATGAAACAGTTTATTCTTAATTATTATATTACTAGAGGCCCGATGCATGAAGATTCATGCAAGAATGGGCCTTCCTTCCCCTGGCTGCTGGCACTGCCTTCACTCTGGCCCGGAGCCGCCTTTCCGCCTTCCCACACTGCCCAGAGGCCCAGAGCAGCTGGGGCGGTGCAGAACGCCCTCGGCGCCTGTGAATGCAAATTAACCCATCTTTGTTGGATTAATTTGCATACTCACTCCTGATTGGCTGGTGGGCATCATGAAGGTGAGGTCAATTTGCATCTTTCTCTTTTATTAGTGTAGCTTTTCCATATGAACAACTGTAAACTTACTTTTGCCCACTCCTGTGTGGTGTCAGATAAGTGCTAGATTTATCAGGGTGATCACTTTGTAAGTTATGTAAATGTCTAATCGCTATGGTGTGCTCATGAAACTAATCTAATATTGTATGTCAACTGAAATTGAAATTTTTACATTCTATGGGTTTTGACAAATGTATAATGGATACATACATCTCCTTTACTGGTATACTAAGAAGTGTGATTGCTGGATTGTATAATAAGAGTATATTTAGTTTTGTATGAAATCACCAAACTATTTTCCAAAGTGGCTGTACCATTTTATATTTCCACCAGCAATGAAAGAGAGTTCTTGTTGCTCCAATTTGGAGCATTTGGTGTTGTCAATGTTTTGGATTTTCACCATTCTAATAGGTGTGTAGTGGTTCTTTTTTTTAACTAGAGGCCTGGTGCACAAAAAATTGTGCATTCGGGGGGGGGGGGTTCCTCAGCCCGGCTTGTGCCCTCTCACATTCTGGGACCCCTTGGGGGGATGTCCACCTGCTGGCTTAGGCCTGCTCCCTGGGGGGGATCAGGCCTAAGCTGGCAGTCAGACATCCCTCTAGCAGCCCGGGAGCCCTCGGGGGATGTCCACTTGCCAGCGGGGAGCAGGCCTAAGCTGCAGTCGGACACCCTTAGCGCTACTGAGGAGGCGGGAGAGGCTCCCACCACCACCCCTGTACTGGCAGCCGTCAGCCTGGCTTGTGGCTGAGCAGAGCTCCCCCTGTGGGAGCGCACTGACCACCAGGGAGCAGTTCCTGCATTGAGCATCTGCCCCCTGGCGGTCAGTGTGTGTCATAGTGACCAGTCATTCCCAGTCGTTCTGTTAGGGTCAGTTTGCATATTACCCTTTTATTATATAGGATTGGATTGTTTTCTTATTGTTGAGTTTAAGAGTTCTTTGTACATTTTGGATTCAGATCTCTTATCAGATAAGTGTCTTACAAATATAGCTTGCCTTTTCATTTCCTTAATAGTGTCTTTTGCAAAGTTATTCATTTTAATTAGGTCTAACCTATCTATTTTTTCTTTCATGAATGGTGTTTTTGGTGTTGTACAGTGGGGCCTTGACTTACAAGTTTAATTCGTTCCGTGACGGAGCTCGTAACTCAAATTACTCGTATGTCAAATCAACAGTAAACGAGTGAGACACTTGATGCTGGGCTGATATTGTGGCGTTCACTGTGACATTCGCTGCGCCAACTGGCGGTGGGGTATCTGAAGCTGGCTCGTAACCCGAATTTTAGCTCGCAACTCAAAGCAAAAAATCGGCCGAGAGATGGCTCGTATCTCGAAAAACTCGTTAGTCGGGACACTTGTAAGTCAAGGCCCCACTGTATCTAAAAACTCATCACCAAGCCAAAGTCACCTAGGTTTTGGCTTGTTATCCTCAAGAAATTTTATAGTTTTGTATTTTACATTAGTTTATGATCTATTTTTAGTTAATTCTGTGAAAGGTGTAAGGTCAGTGTCTAGATCAGCTGTGGGCAAACTACAGCCCGCGGGCCGGATCCGGCCCTTTTGAAATGAATAAAACTAAAAAAAAAAAAAAAAGAAGACCGTACCCTTTTATGTAATGATGTTTACTTTGAATTTATATTAGTTCACACAAACACTCCATCCATGCTTTTGTTCTGGCCCTCCGGTCCAGTTTAAGAACCCATTGTGGCCCTCAAGTCAATAAGTTTGCCCACCCCTGGTCTAGATTAATATTTTTTTGCATGTGGATGTCGTTTGAACATTTGAAAAGACTATACTTTCTCCATTGAATTGCCTTTGCTCCTTTGTCAAATATCAGAAGGTTTCTTCTGTTTTAGCTGGAATTACATTGTCTTAGTCTGAACACTGCAGATTTAATTGATTAAGAATGAAAACAATGAGCTTAACAAATGAATTTTACTTGATATCAAAGTATTTCAAAATATGGGGACTTTGAGAACAAAACAATAAAAGGGGTCCTTGGTGAGAAGGAGGAGACCATCATGTCGGAATGTTGTAATTTCTATTAAGGTTTGTGAGAGTAACCTATAAACTCAGACATAAAAATTCAGTATTTAGGAAGAAATATACTCTCTCTAGAATTGGTAGTAGCCTAAAATATACTCTAATCTGCTGCTGAACATGTATGAAGCACAGTATTTCAGAGTATACATTTATTCCACAGATACCATATTTCATTAATTCCAAAATGAACTTTTTCTTCATATTGTGGCATCTGAAATCCAAATACTTACAAAATTAATGGAATATCGTATTCTAATTTGCAGTAATTTTTAAAAATGGTACATAAAATAAAGGTTTTATAATCTATGGGAGGACTTCTTAGCTGGATATAACAGCTTAGCTCTCACATAAACCATCCTATACTTTTCACAGTGTTTCAAAGAACTTTTCACTTAGTCTTGGGGCTGGGTAAGAAGGGAAAAATTTGGAGCTAGAATAAAGAAGTAAAATATAACTATGAATGTTTACCAAAGCATAGAATGGGTTAGAGAGGAAAGAGGAAACTTTAGTATCAACAGAAATACAGCCAGACACTTCGGATCTAGGGAGATGAATAAAAATCTTAGTTACTATGGCAAAGAACTTGGTTAATAGTAAGTGGCTGCCTTTAGGTTCCAAATCCATTAACCTCTCAATCTATGCAAACAAAAAAGTTACAGACATTGGCCAAGCCCCTTTTTCCCTGCCAGTGCTGACACCACCTACCCAAACTCCTCATTTTTAGGATTTTACCTCCAATAGCTTTTCCTGACACTGACTATAAACCAGAACTTCTACGGTACGGTTTACAATTATTTTAGAAACTGAAATCAATGCTTTTGTGATTAAACTCTACTCTCCATTAACACAGAATTGGTATTGGTTTTTACTTGAAACCTTCAAAAGACATTATTAGTTTGTTGCCAGTTTTAAAGGGACACAACTGTAAATAAGATTTGAAACAGAGGCCCTGATAAAGCTTAAACGGAATCCTTTTCCACAACTCCAGTTTTATTTAGACTTTATGTGGTTGCACAGACACACTTAGAGAAGATATATTTATATTACATATAAATATAGATAATGAGAGTTTCTGACAAATGATTGCTAATGAAAATTTATTAACCATATAACCTTGAATACCAGAGAAACTTCAATATGAACAAATCAGCACTAAGTTCCCAGTTCATAAACTTTGGTTGTATGATGATGCCTTAAGCCCCAAGGAACAAACAATAATCCTAATTTAAAAAGAAAAAAAAAATCCTAAGAAACAAAAAATCCTTCAACTCTCTTGAATCGTTTTTTTAAACATCATTTGGGGAAATTCTCTCTTATTCTACCTTTTTTTTTCCATCTTGGTCAGTTTCTATAACCATTATCAATAAAAATTGATGAGGGAAAAAAGGACAGAAAAACTATAACAGATAAAGATGATGTCTCAAAATAGGTATTTCTGGAAATTATTCTGTCTTAAATACAAAATTGTTTTAACTTAGGAGATTTGAATTATATAACATGAATGAAAAAAGCCCAGCTCTTAGTTTTCTAAAGTCAAAATCTCAGACAATGTAATCTTAACAAGAGCTGGGATGAGAGGCCCCTGGAGAGAGCTTTAGCAGACCCAGCTGAAGAGATTCGTGGACTGCAACTTCTTCCCTGGCGCTACTGGGTCTGTGGTACAGAGGCCATTGGTATAACACACAGGCATCAAAAAAGAGACCTGATGGGATGAGCCCAACCTTTCATGGGACTTCCCAAGAAATCTGACGGGCAAAAGGAAGAACAATCAGAGTGGAGATTGAAACAGGAAAAGTGAAAAAAATATATATCTAAGTTTACACAAGTCCAGATGGAGGGGACTTGGATGTACAAACTGACAACTGCATACGCGGAGAAGGGATGGCATCCTTGCACACAAGTGTGGATTATACACACATTCTATTAAGTCAGTTCATATATTACACCTGACAATTCACACAGGATGTTTCTGCGAGGAGGTGGAAGGAGGTTCTAGTCACTCCGCTCCTCAGGCCCCAGTCCTTTGTCCAGGCTGGTTGGTGGTCTCCACACAGGACTCAACGGCCTGGTATATGAATGGGTAAAGCTTCATGTCTGGTCCGGGAGTGGAACAGTTTCTACATTCTTCATTGTAATAGCGTAGCAACAGCTTATATACTTCTCCTGGGGAGTAAAGGGCAAGACAAATTTGCACATTAAGGTATATAGATGGATGAAACTACTAAACAACACTCAGTTTTATCTTAACATATGTTTAAATTTGAAAATAAAGTATGAATTTCATATGCCTGGAAGGCTTTCCTGACATAAAGATAAAAATTTAAAAAATACCTTAAAGAAACTATTTATTAGCTCATGATTCCAACAGGCTATATACAGGGGCAAAAGTAAGTTTACAGTTGTGGGTACATGAAACAGAGTTCATTCTTCTATTATTATGTATTAGTTACTGTGCTATTTTCCATCTGAACAACTGTAAACTACTTTGCCTCTGTGTGTCACACATTATCCACGCATCCGTTGGGAGCCTGCAGCAGCTCTGATTCTGCACTGGGCTCCCATGGCAGCAAGGCCTCTCCTGTCCAGCGGAAACACTAGGTGAGCAAGCTGGCATGTCTGCTAAGCAGAGCTCAGAACGAGGCTTCTTAGGATTGAACTTGCCCCCTACGCTTCCTTCCTTTAGTTTTCTGTATACACAAACATAAAAGTGGACACTACCCCAGCTTCTTAGCCTTTACTTTAATAAGATGATATACCCTTTCAAAACTGTGAATGACACTTTGCCAGAAAACAATGATCCTACCAATGACGCCTCTCTAAAACTTTGCCTCCCCTCCTCAAAAATCACACTTGATTTTTTTTTCTTATTCACTGTGATCCATCCAGATTTGGCAGGTGCTCCTCCTAAATCCATTGGATAGCAGTGTCAAGACTCTCCTACTTACCAACAGTCAGTTTCCTTTCGGTAAGAAAAGTGTGCATGCTGTAAATGTCTCTCATCAATTCCGAGTCCCCAAAGGTGAAATAAACCACATCCCGCTCAGCTACAGCAGCTGCCAGTATCTGTATTAAGGCTGTGGCAAGAGAGAAAATACAGCTATATTATGACACTTCCATGAAGACACTGTTAGTTCTTTCAACCAGCTAAATTATAGCTGGTGTGCCTGAGAGGAATCCTGCATTAAAAGATTTATAAACCCGATAGACACATTAGAAATGGCAAATACAGGGTGGGCATAAATCATCTACTTGTGTGACTGTTCAGACCTGCTGCCGAGACTAGCATTAAGCCACAGAATTCCCATCAAGCACCTTTGTGGGAAGACAAAGGAAGGGGCATTTTGAGGCAGCAGAGCTAAGGCACTAAGGTGGTATTTCTTCTTGCTTATACTAATCTGGAACTAAATTTTTTGTGTTTGCTCACCTGATTATTTTGTCTCATTACACAGCCACTGGTCTTTGTACCACAGGAGTCTCTGTGATTTTCCTTGACCAGTATACTTGGGAGGCTGCAATGCTCTCATTAACCCGCAGCAAGCATCTCACCCCTCCTGCACTCCCACCCCTACCCAATCACCGCAGCCTGGAGTGATTGCTACTGAGAACACTGGACATAACTCTGCGTGATGGGATGGGAAATCACTCAGAACCACTGTCTCCAGGAATCAAAGTTACAAATCACTGAGACTCAAGGATGTTTCCAAAAATTAAGTTTCTTGTAATCTTCATCTCAATAGACAAAAGTTAATTTAAATAATAACAACAAAACTGAACACAGGTATAATAAATGCCCTTTTCTAGTTATATATCTTTTTCCTTAAAAAAAAAAAGTGGAAATAAAACTAAAAGTTTTAGTCTGGTTTTGAATTTTGAGAGCATGTTAATATTATACACTTCAAAAAATAAAATTAAAACAGTAAGAATGGAGCCCTAGATGGTTTTCTCAGTGGTTAGAGCATCGGCCTGTGGACTGAAGGGTCCCTGGTTCTATTCCAGTCAAGGGCACATGCCCAGGTTGTGGGCTCAATCCCCAATGGGGGTGGGGGAGGGCACGTGCATGTGGGAGGCAGCCGATCAATGATTCTCTCTCCTCAGTGATGTTTCTAACTCTCTCTCCCTCTCCCTTCCTCTCTGAAATCAATAAAAATAATTAAAAAAAAATCAAACCCAGAAAGAATGAGAATGATGCCCTAGCCAGTTTGTCTCAGTGGTTAGAGCGCCGGCCTGTGGAGTGAAGGGTCTTGGGTTCTACTCTGGTCAAGGGCACGTCATACCCCGGTTGCAGGCTCACCGACGGGTGCCAGATGCCGAGTTCACAGGTGGCGAACGCAGCTGCGCAAGACTCTCCCACAGACACTCCCCCTGGCATTCCTCCCACATCGGGACTGGGATCAGGACTGGGATTGGGACGGATAGGGACTGACTGGGGGGTGTGTGTGGGAGGCGACCAATCAATGTGCCCCCTCACATCAATGTTTCTCTCTCTCTGTCTCTCCCTTCCATTTTCTCTAAAAAACCAATGGAAAAAATATCCTCGGGTGAGGATTAACAAACAAAAAGAATGGGAATGAGGAGAAACCTATAATGGAAAGCAAATGAAGACAAATGAGCCAAATTTTATTTCAAAAGAATAACATAACTACACCGAAGGGAACGGAAAAAGGAAGGATGAAAGAAAGAACTAATGTAACTTATGAACACAATATTTGACTAATATAGCCTCAGTATTGGGCAAGAAGGAAAGAATTACAAACTCCCCACTCTTTTTACTAGGTCTGCTTACCATAGTGGTACAGGCAAAGCAATTCTGAAAGTATTTTAGATACATTTCAGGATTGAGCAAATGAGTAAATGTTGATACTGTTGGGAGCTGGGGTTCTCTCTAGTGGGAAAAGACAAATAACTCTGGGAGGAGATACACTGCAATGGAAGACACCGGTATGTGCCCATGACATCCCCAATGTGTGCGTGTGCGTGTGTGCGTGTGTGTGTGCGCGTGCGTGCGTGTGCGCGTGCGTGTGTGTGTGCGTGTGTGTGCGTGTGTGTTTGTGTGCGTGTGTGTGTGTGCGTGTGTGTGTGTGTGTGCGTGTGCGTGCGTGAGAGAGAGAGAGAGAGAGAGAGAGAGAGAGAGAGAGAGAGAGAATCTCCTACTTTGCTGAAAAAGTCTAAAAGAAGACATCCTAGTAGCAATGAGCATAGCTAGTGCCCAGATCTTGGTATCTAACACCATTCCCCCTAAAAGGAGCAGGACTCCTAAGGGAAATGCCTGATTCCACAATAGGGACAGGACAGGTACAAGATGAGTTCAAAATATTTTTCTACACCAGAAAGTAAGGATATGTTAAAAAAAAAATGGTGGGAGAAAAAATTGGTGGGAATGTGTCACATGGATACAGGGGCCAATTTGAAGAAGCTCCCACTAGCCAAATCTGGAAGCTAAGTACCAAAATATTAAGTACAGTAATAAATTACAAACTACTGAAAAAATATGAATTGCTGAGTCCACACTGATAACACACAATAAACAGAGAAGAGGAAGGAAAGCTCTTGCTCAGGAGAAAGCCAAAGACTAATAATCAGTAAGTTGGAGAGACCGCTAGAATGAGATAATCCTCTTTTTGCAACCATCATGGCAAAGATTGGATCCAGCAAAAATCATTAAAGGGTGCTAAATCTATGGTAAATTTTGTCTTCAAGTGTCTAATTAGCTACAAGAAAGGAAAAAAAATCCAAAACCTACACAGTGGAGAGATTAGACAACATCTTTACTGGATGATCAAAATTAACATCACCAGTGGGGTCAGATGGCCATCATGTGCCTGAGACACTATTACCTGTGCAGTGCTCTGAGCATGCAGAGACTCAAGCTAATCACGAGCAAACAGCAAACAAATCCAAGGAACACTGTATTCTTAAAACATGTCGATGACAGAGAAGACAAAGAGAGCTGTGGAAACGCTCCATATTCAAAAGGAGGCTACAAGTCATGACAATTAAATGTAATATCTGAATCCAAACCCTGTACTGAAGGGCAAAACGGCCACTTGACAAAACTGGAACATAGATGATACAGTAGATAAAAGTATTCAATCAAGGCATAATTATGAAATTAATAACTATAATGTGTTTTATATAAAAACTAGAGGCCCGGTGCATGAAATTCGTGCACTGGGGGGGGGGGGGAGAGTCCCTCAGCCTCACCTGTGCCCTCTCGCAGTCTGGGAGCCCTCAGGGGATGTTCGACTGCTGGCTTAGTCCCACAAGAAGCGGGCCTAAGCCGGCAGTCAGCCATCCTTAGCACTGCTGCAGAGGTGGGAGAGGCTCCCGCCACCACTGCTGCACTGGCCAGCCATGAGCCAGCGTCTGGCTGAGTGGCGTACCCCCTGTGGGAGTGCACTGACCACCAAAGGGCAGTTCCTGTATTGAACGTCTGCCCCCTGGTGTCAGTGAGCGTCTTAGCGACCGGTCGCTCGGCCGTTTGGTTGATCTGCATATTAGCCTTTTATTATATAGGGTATTTTATTCTTTTTTTAAAAAATATATTTTATTGATTTTTTACAGAGAGGAAGGGAGAGGGATAGAGTTAGAAACATCGATGAGAGAGAAACATTGATCAGTTGCCTCCTGCACACCCCCTATTGGGGATGTGCCCGCAACCCAGGTACATGCCCTTGATCGGAATCAAACCTGGGACCTTTTAGTCCACAGGCTGACGTTCTATCCACTGAGCCAAACCGGTTAGGGCAGGATATTTTATTCTTTTAAATATATATATAGATAGATAGATAGATTTCAGAGAGGAAGAAGAAGGAGAAAGGGAGATAGAAACATCAATGATGAGAGAGAATCATTGTTTGGCTGCTTCCTGCACACTCCACCCTGGGGATTGAGCCTGCAACCTGGGCAGTGCCCTTGACCGGAATTGAACCCAAGACCCTTCAGTCCACAGGCTGATGATCTATCCACTGAGCCAAACTGGCTAGGACAGAAAATATTTTATTCTTAGGAAGCACAAACTAAATATTTAAGAAAAGGAGCACAATGTACATAACAAGCTCAAATGATTCAGAAAAAAATTATATGTGTGTCCATATATGCATGCATATATACACACACATATGTATGTATATACACATACACAGAGAAGTGTGTGTGTATAATTTTACTTTTTGTAACTTTTATGAATTCAAAATTATTTTCAAGTAAAAAGTTTTAAAAATTAAATAGGAAGGAAAAATATTTTTAAGTTAAACTAGTAAATTTGATATACTGAGTTTCCCCAGATTTGAGAAAGAATATAAGACACTATACTACAGGCAAGATTCTAAAATACCAAAGTATTTTCTAATTTCCAAACTAATATTTATTGAGTATCCACAACATGACTAGGCCTCATTAATCTCACAGTACTGAAAGCAATTAATCTCAAAATAGAAATGTTTTAATTAAAACTGCTCAACCAACTTGTGCATACATTAAAGCTTCAATACACTCAATTTCAAAGGGTCCTAATTAACCTTAACTACACATAAAAATGGAAACTAATGAATTGTCATCTTCCTCTACCAAGAGGTATCACTTCTTACCTCTTAATTTGAATGAGAATTTAGCTTTAAGTATTTCCTATTTAAAACAGAGAGAGGCTGGCCAGTGTGGCTCAGTGATTGAGCAACGACCTATGGACCAGGAGGTCACGCTTCAATTCCTGGTCAGGCCATATACCCAGGTTGCAGGCTCCATCCCCAGTAGGGGGCGTGCAGGAGGCAGCCAATCAATGTTTCTCTCTCACACTGATGTCTCTCTCTCTCCTCTCTCTCCCTCTCCCTCCCCCTTCCTCTCGCTCTAAAATCAATTTAAAAAATGCTTCACTGGCCATTTTTCCCCAGTGGACAGGCTCTTAGAGATAAGCCTGACAGAGCTACCAAAAGGAGGCCAGTTTCTAATAAGAGACACCAAGTCACATTACGTTCTTGAATTCACATCTATTTCTATTTGGGTGCCCACTGTGACATAAAGATGTGTTAGACAAGTTGGGTCTGGAGATAGGAGCCCTAGTTCAGCCCTCACCCTTCTC